GTTTTCTTTTTTTTTCTGACAATAAAACAATAAAAGTTTATGAGTAAGGGGAGGTGTTGGTGATATAGTTAAGAGGATCTTCATTCTTTTCTTGTATTTTGTTGACTCCCCATTGTCTTCCTTAGCTTGCCTATATAGACATGGCTACTCAAAAATTGATGTTGTATATAAAGATAGTTTTAGAGGTTGCTTCATAATTTATGCTTCAGGAAATCTCTTGTTAAACTGGTCTTTTTGCTGCTCCTGGGGTCTCTATTGCTAAAATGGGAGTAGTCATTTAAGGGCAAGAATTGTGCTATTATGAAAATCTTTCATAACTATAAATGATTGACAAGAGACAGTCACATTAGTCTCTTAATGGAATGCTGGTTTTCCAATTTTAGGACAAACTACTACTCTCATTATTAGTATGATCTTTATTCTAATATTAAATTTTGGAATGTTTAAGGGTTAGGGCTTACATCCAATGAAAGTCTTCATCCTAAATTTATGCATATCTGTGAAATTGGAATCAAAGCGTTAGAGAAATGTTATTCATGAATAGCCTCATAGGAACTCAAAATATGTGTTAGGTAAAGAAGGGAGGAAGGAAGAAGGAAAGAAGATGGGGAGAAGGGAAGGAGAAAGAGGTAGGCCTGATTTTGCCATCTATCACATTACAATTGAGGCACTGAGTTACTTTTTGAAGGGGAGGGGGGTCTTTCCAAAGCATCCCAGGAGTATTTATTGGCATCAGATCAATTTTGATATCAGATCCACTATTTTAGTTCAGGAGCCATTTTTATCTAGGAACTCCTAAGTTTAGAATTAGGAGCCATTGTATTCAGGGACTCTCAGTTTTCGTTTAGGAGTCATTATATCTGAGATCCGGAGTCAATGCTGTTTATCCTCCTGTAAGAACATGTGGCTGCTAAAGGGCTGACCTCACCCCAGCCCGTGATGTAACCCCTAACCATGCTTATGAAATTCCTCTTGTGGGCTATAAAGCTGCTCTATGAGTGTCTCCTTGGAGGGACAGCTTCATGGGTTTGCTCCATGCTCTGACAACAAATCTCTCGAATGGGATCTGGTGTGTGGTGTGGGTCCTTGGACTTTGCGTGGACTTTGTGAGTGTCCTTTCAGTATTCAGTTTTGAAGCATGGGTTTCTCTGATTCTTGAAAAGTGGCAGGGTAATGAAGCCAGAATTAGACAGGCAGATAGGCAGATAGGCATGGGTCAGATCCAGAGAATGGAGGAATTGAAATGTTAATTCCTTCAGAGCCCTTCCCTATCAAGATAAACTGCCCTGTGCCAACGTGTTTCTAAAACAACCTGTCCCAGGATTTTGCCCCTCCCTACATGGAGTTATAAAGTTGTTAATTAATGTGTCCTGGGCTGCTCCATCAGGCTCTTCCCCAGTCCATCTGCTTCTCACCTTTTGGCCATCCCATCCAGCCTCTCCTGGGCCTAGTCAGGTAGTGGGAAAAGGGGAAGAGAGTAGGGAACAAAGGAAGTCTAAGACATTTAAAAAAAAAAAAAAAAAAAGCAGAACGCCTTGCTTCTTGTAATACCAGGATACCAACTATGGCCCCGTTCTCCCTCCCCGGAGAACTTTATGTTACCCCTTTTTAATTAAACCCTGTTTTATATGCTTGCCTCAACGTGCTTCTCTAATGTTATACTTCAACATGTGGGGGTGACCAGCAGTATCCGTAGGTGGTAGGTGACTTTAAGGAAGGGAAGGAAGGTAGAGTTATATTGACAAAATAGGAGAAATGTGAATGGACAGAAGTTCCTTCAAAAGTTGGTATTTGGGGAAGACATAATGAGGAAGGAACAGTGAAGAAGAAGGAGAGAAAACACTACAAATAGTAAATGGTATTTCATTTAATCTTCAGATGAACCCTATTATGTCAATATTTTCCCTTCTTTATGATTGAGGAAACCAAGTACAGGAACGAACAGGAGAAAGAATTGATACTTGAAACCAGAGCTGTGGCCCCAGAGTCTACATTCTTTCTACCATACAAACATTGACAAGTCTAGAAGCCTGTAGAATTCTCACATTGCTCAGACATTGATAAAGTAGGAGTAAGACCATCCTTAGCAGAAGCTTATAAGACCAGTTCATGACCTTAGGTCATTTCAAATGGATTTTCACATCAACTCCTTTCCCTTTCCTGGAATTCTAAGCTCCAAAGGAATTCCAAACAATCTTTCTGGGTCCTAAAATAGCTTTACAAAGCATTCCCATTCCCTTTCCTGTAATGTCTGCCCCCAAAGTTCAGTTTACCTGAAGGAGTATCTTTCTAGTAATTATGACTTTTAAAAGTTTCCTACTCCAGTAGCATGTGTCCTTTATTCAACAGCTGCTCTGGGATAATGATGATGAAAGACTTGGCTCAAAATGTTCAATTGATGCAATTATCATTACTTTATATTCTTATACTATTATACTCTAAATGATTACACCAGATTCTTCAAATCGGATTCCCCTCCTCAAAGCCATGGTATTAATCTTTGGATATCTCACAAGTTCTAGTAACCAGAGTCAAGGGAGAATATTTTTCATGGGCAGAAATGAATAGTTGAGGGTTATCATTTTTTAAATATCCTCCTTATCTGTGGCTGTATGTCATCTTTCCTTTCTAATGTATGTGTCTTCTCTGTTTCACGATCTTTTCTTGATTTGTTTCTTGGTCTCTTCAGAGAGTAAAGTTTTGGTTACTTTAATTTTTTTTTAATTTTTGTTTTTAAATTTATCAAGTTGCCTGAGTTTATAAGTTTTCCTATTTGGCTAGTTTCTGCTTTTGTTTTTATTTATTAACAGAATTCTTTTGCAGTCTTTCCAAAGTCTCTTGTTTTGTACAATGTTTTGCAATAAATGTTTGTTTGTTTTTTGTTTGTTGGTTGGTTGGTACTGGGAATTGAACTCAGGGGCACTCAACCACTGAGCCACATCCTCAGCCCTATTTTGTATTTTAAGCAACTCAGGGTCTCACTGAGTTGCTTAGTGCCTTGCCTGTTGCTGAGACTGGCTTTGAACTCAGGATCCTCCTGCCTCACTCAGCCTACTGCGCCAGGCCTGCAATAAATGTATTATAAATAGATATAAAATTTTATGGATTCAGCAGGGCACCGTAGCTCACGCCGGTAATCCCAGCAGCACAGAAGGCTGAGACAAGAAGCTTGCAAGTTCAAAGCCAGCCTCAGCCTCAGTAAGGCACTAAGTAACTCAGTGAGACTCTGTCTCTAAGTAAAATATGAAATAGGGTTGGGGATGTGAATCAGTGGTTGAGCGCCCCTAAGTTCAAACCTCGGTACCCGCCCCCCCCAAAAAAAAGATTTTACGGATTCAGTTTTTCTAAACTGTTCAGTTTCACAATTTTGTCATGTAGGAATTTTTTGCTTTTTTTTTCCCTAAAGAGTGTGCATTCCTATTCCCCATAAATATGTGCAATTATGTGTTAATCAAAGATTCTTTTAATTGTTTAAGGAGATGGAAATGTCAACCACCCTAATTTGATCTTAACACACTGTATATATGAATCAAATTATAAAATTGTACAATTAAAATAATATTTTTCGGGCTGGGGTTGTGGCTCAGCACTCTACCACTCGTCTAGCACATGCATGGCCCTGGGTTCGATCCTCAGCACCACATAAACATAAACAAAATAAAGGTATTGTGTCCAACTACAACTAAAAAAATAAATACAAAAATCTTTTAAAAAATATTTATTTTCAAAAGTATTTGTAATTTCCCATTTGTGTGTGGTGTTTTTTTGTCTGTTTGTTTGTTTGGTTTGGTTTGGGTTTTTGTTTTTGCTTATAGTGCAGACTAAACCCCAGGATGCTCTACCACTGAGCTACATCCCCAGCCTTTTTTATTTTTGAGTCAGGATGTTGCTAACTTGCCAAAGTTGGCCTCAAATTTGTGATTCTCCTGCTCAGCTTCCCAAGTCACTGGTATTAAAGGTTTGTACCACCCCACCTGGCTGTTTAATCCATATTTAAAGCATTTTTAAATTTCCAACTGTATTGCAATGAGCATAAATTTTGTTGTTAATTTTATCATAATATTTTGATGAGTAATGTAATATGATTCTGCCTTTTAAGTTGTGTTGACCTTTATTTTGTGACTTAGTTTTTTGTATGAAAAACAAATAGCATCTATTCTCCATTTGGGGGTGCAAATTTATGCATAAAGGTATGCCTATGTGTTTTTAAATCTCATATATGCTACTTAAGGTTATGTTGAATCGTCGAAATACAGTTTCCTCCAACCTCTAGTTAGAGTTGTTGCAAGATCTCCTACCCATTTCACAAACCTTTAGCAGGAAGATCTACTTCTGATTAGTGCATTCCACAGATGTACAATCACAGTTGGGGGTGGGGTATATGTCATAATCCAGTGGAGAAACTAGATATTGAATAATAAGATCTAGAAACTAGTATAAATTGTATTGGCCTTACCACAGATGGGCTTGGTGACCCTAGGCAAGTCGTTTTTCAGTGTTTCTATTTCCTCCTCTATCAAATGCCCTGGGTAGTCATATCTGCTCTGCCAACATTCCAAGGTGTGTCGGGGAAGCCAAGAGATAAGGAATGTGGCCAACATAAAGTGATAAAGAAATAAATTTTTTTAAAAAAGGAGCAGTGGTTGCTAACATACATAGGAGCTGAAGAAAAACGATAATTATGTAAAATGGCTAACCCAGGCTCCAAGCAGGTGCTCTTTCTTTTGGCTCCGTTCCCTGCTCCAACCACCTTCAGCTCCCTTTGGGAACACCCTCCCTCCAGCACTGGAACACCACCATCCAATACCGTGAGCCTCCCTCTTCGTAGCACTGGCAGCTTGGAACCTGATGAAAGTGTATTCTGAGAACCAGCAAAAAAACTGCCAGCAGCTCAAATTCGCGCTTCATCACAATCAGCCCCGGCGGAGCATGTGCAATGCCTCCTCCTTCAGCAGTGGAGGCTGAATGGCAGATGCTACCCAAATGCTCATTAATCAAAGGAGGCTTTCGCCCCCAGACCCCTCTAGGCCTTGGACAGAAAGAATTTCGGCCCCAGAAATATAGGATGAGGAGCCTCCACCTCCTCTGAGCCCGTAGGAGGCAGCCGCGGGGTCAAATTTAAGCATTGCCCTCGGTAGAGAAGGAATCGATGGTGTTCTGGATGCGGATTTCCAGGGAAGATGCTCCTCCCGGGTTCCGCGACCCCTTGGGAAGATAATTGAGCGCCCAGCTAAGCTCAGAGCATGCCAGCCCCGGGAGCCGCGGGAGCTGGCGCCAAGCGTCTCTGCACCACCCCGCAGCTCCGGGCCCTCTTTCTCAATTTGCCCTCCTGCCGCAGTCAGGCCCAAATTAATTCTCTGCACTTGTGAGTGAGCACACACAAGTTCCCCAGGCACGATCCTTCCATTTCCCCCGGGGAGGTTGGAGGCGGGGGGGGAGCTTTTCAACCCTTAACCTCCCAGCCACCTGGGGGAAGGTGGCAGGATGGAGCGAGTGGGGCGGGGAGAGGCGTTTTGCCAGTTCAAAGGCACCAAAATTAGCTGCCAATTCTAAAAGGGTTCTCTTTTTCTCGGTTTTGACAAACAGATGCAATGGGATGCCTACTGCTTCCCCGGCCCAAGTCCTGGGCTCACTTCACAGCCTGATGCGGAGTTTCAGACCGCAGTCCTGCTGAACGGATACCCGGGGTTCTTCGACCTCCTGTCGAAGTCTGCAGACGGGTGGATGCGGGGCGCAGGCTTTTCCCAGAAGGATTTAACGTGGCCTTAGGTTAAAAAGCCCCAGAGCTCTCACCTTTGCACCTCCCGTTTATCTTCCTCCTCCTCCTCATCCCCATCACTCCCCACCCCTTCTCCACCACCATCACCACCCCACCACCACCACCACCGAAGGACGTGCCCCCTTGGTAGTGTCGGGGCTCCCAGACCGAGCGAGGGGGAGGGCGCCTCCCAATCCCCTCCTCCCCATCCCTGCCTCAGCTCGGGGTTTTACTGCAGCAGCCGGGAGGTGACAGCGACGCCTTAGCCTCCTCTGTTGCTCTCGGAGCCCGGGTTTCCCTTGCGCTGGGAAAGCGCCCTCTCCGGAGAGGCTAGTCCCGGGAGAAGTGCGAAAGAGCTACAGAAAACCAAATTATAAAATGTAGAAGTCTCTGGGTTGCATTCCTCCGAGGACGAACCTCATCTCCCAGGACAGAGTGGCAGCGTTTGGGAAGTTGGGACCATAGAGCAAGGGGGGGAGGGGAGTGGTGCAACCGGCATTCTCTTCTGGAAGGAGTCGCTGGGAGCCGTGCGGTTGGACCTAAGTTTGCGTAAGAGTGTTTTCCTTTTGTCAATAATTAATCACCGGAATCAGTCTGGCAGAATTGGAGTTTTAGCAATAGTGCAGAGGGCGGGGCTGAACACCTAACTCCTGGAGCCTCCGCGGCGCCCCGCAGAGGGAAGCTCGCAGCAGCTGGGGAGGAGCCAAAGCATCCGAGCTCACCTAAAGCCGCAGGGAGGTACACCCGACTGGGGACTGGGAGGTAAGCCATCTTCCAAAATACCTACTTGGACTGGAAAGTAGTTAGTAGGATAGAATTTCTGTCTTTATTGCGGGGAGCGGGGACGTAATAGTGAGTTTTAATGCAGTTTATCAGTTTATCATTTAACATCGTTACGATTTTAAGAATCGAATGGGTTTTTCCACTTGCCTTTCACTATGTTGGCAACTAAGATGTGTCACCCAACAGAAGCTAAACTTTAATATTGAAACTTTCCCAGCCAAAATAAAATGGTTTTCATTATTTATCTTTGCCTGATTCATTAGTAACGATTCAGGGAAATATCTTTGAGATGTGCAGTTTCCTTCTTAAATACTCATCTTTCTAGTTTCATGCTCTTATATACTACTTTTTTTTTTTTTTGCCAGTAGGCAATAGCACAAACAAGTCAACTGTCAAACGGTGAAGAATTTCCAAGAAGGAATGCATTTTAACAATTTTCTTATGATTTTCAAGCAGTATTATATTGTTTCAAAGATGCATAAGTAAGCATTCATAAGTAAACAAACTTCAAAGCCCAGGAAGAACTATATGGTTAACTTTGCCTTAGGGTGGGAAAAGGGGTTGAGGCTAGACAGAGAAGAGTTTTAAATATGAACAAGTTTCTAGACTGGTTTCAACTAAACTGGCATTCAACTGGTTGTCAATTCACAGATGAGCCCAGTCCATGCTCAAAGAAAGCATTTGAGAAACTGTTAAATGTAACATCTACATCTTAGTCTCCAAAGTCCAAATAAATGCATCAGGGAAGTGAGGAAGGTCAGTTTTATAAAAGACTTTATGGTGCAGTAGTTATTTTAAATTAAACAAGAATTAAGAAATGCATGATATTTTTGTGAGTTTTTAAAATTTTTATATGAATCTTGAATTTTTAAAAATATATATATTTTTTAAGTTGTAGGTAGACACAACTTTTATTTTATTTATTTGTTTTTATGTGGTGCTGAGGATCTAACCCAGCACCTCACACATGCTAGGTGAGAGATCTACATCTGAGCCACAACTCCAGCCCAATCTTGAAGTTTTAATGACTTAATTTATGCATCTTAATTATTCCTATGCTTGTGAAGATAACTTTCATGTTCATGACTTTCAACAGCCATGATGACTTTGTACGTCGATCATTAGACCACCACCAACAAACTTTAGTATGAAATGCATATGGTCTCCTTATTCAAATATTTCTCTACAACTATTCAATAACCACAAATTAAGAATGGTTTGTCAAGCCAAATGCATAGACAGTTTAAAACTTTAGTGGATATGAAGCTGAAAGTCAACACGTCCTCAACTTCCATAGGTTTTCCTAATCTGCTATTTATAAATTTGCAAATATTTTATAAAAACTGTCCTTTATCATTCTATAGCAAATTTTGTTTCTACTATATCTGTTTGATCACCAGGTATACAAGAAGCAGAATCTTCATTTAAAAGAATCCAAATGAGACTCAATCTCCAGAATAGTGGTGTGAAAAGCTATGTGAACCCACTCCTTATAAAATAACTGATAAAAATTATCTCAGCATTAGCCTGAGGGAAAATAGAAAATAAAGAAATAACCATTCAATACAATCTCTAGCATTTCAGTAAGAAAGACAAGCATTGATAACATCTGAAGCAGAGCCCATTGTCAGCCCATTTCCCTACCCTCCTCCAGCTGGGTTTGAAGGTGCTCCACCCTGGCTGGATGGTGCTTTACTCTGGTAGGTACAGCCAAGAACACAGGGCTCTCTCACAACCTAGAACCAAGCCTAGAGCTGCAGTACATCCCAAGGAGAAGCAGGCCATATGCATTCCTCTCTGCAGTTGTGTTGCACAATATTTATTTCAGGCAAGACCAACTAAGAAGTCTGAGACTTTCTTTCTTCCCACCCCACTCTTACAGCAGAAGACAAAGAACTCAACAACAGAAAGGCAAATAACCCATTTTAAAATGGGTGAAGGATTCAAATCAACATTTCCCTAAAGAAGATATACAAATGGCCAATAAATTTATGAAAAGGTCCTTACTATCATTAGTTGTTAGGAAAATGAAAATCAAAACCACAACTAAATACCACTTCACACCAAACAGAATGGTTATAATCAAAAAGATATGTAAAAGAAAGTGTTAGAGAAATTGGGGCTAGGAATATAGCTCAAAGGTAGACCACATGCCCAGTATATACAGGGGCATGGGTTCAACCCCTTGTACAAGGGGGGAAAAATAAAAATTAAAAAAAAATGTAAAGAAAATGAACTGTCATATATTGCTGGTGGGAATGTAAAATGACAGTTTCTGTGGAAGATAGTTCAGTAGTTCCTCAAAAAGTTGCTCGTAGATTTATCAAATAACACAGCAATTCCTCTCCCCAGCATATATGCAAGAGAACTGAAAATTTGTATCTATACAAGAATTACTAGTACACAAATGCTCACATCAGCATTGTTCATAGTAGGACAGAAAGTGGAAACACATCTAGCATCCATTGAGTGATGAATAGATAAATGAAATATGGTATGGAATGGAACGATGGAATATTATTCAGCAATAAAAAAGATGTAGCTGATTCATGCTGCTGCATGGATAAATAGTGAAAAGATTATGCTAAGTGAAGGAAGATCACATATTGTATATTTAATTTACATAACACATTCAAACTCAGTAAATCTATAGAGATAAAAAGTAGATTACTTATTGCTGAGGGCTAGAGTGGGATTCCTCCCACTCCAGTGGGGGAGAAATCCAAAGAAAATCAAAACCACAATGAAATACCACTTTTACCACTTCAAAATGGTATTTCATTGTGGTTTTGATTCCTCCCACTCCAGTGTTGGGGAGAATGGGAAGTGACTACTAAAGGGTACAGGGGATGTTTTGGGGATGATGCAAATGATCTAAAATCGACTGTGGTGATGGTTTGTGTAATTGTGAATGCCATACTACTAAAAACCGTTGAGTTTAGGTAAATTATATCTCAATAAAGCAGTTTTAAAAATTTGTCCAGGAAATTAAAAGAACAAATAAGTTTATAACTTGAAGTTCATAAATCTGTGTGTACTACTAGACCAATAGTTTAAACTTGAAGTTCATAAATCTTTGTGCACTACTAGACCAATAGGTTACTTGAGGATTTCTTTCCCCCCAAAGGGCCACATCAAAATATATGAAATAATTAAAAGTAGCACAGGTGTTGCATAGCTATATGATTTGCTTATGTTTACACACCTGCCCAAGCTTTCTTCTATTTGGAAATAAGTCAGATGTCATTAATTTATTCCTATAGAGAATTTGCTTGCAATGTCAAATCTTTTTGGACTCACCCATTCATTATATTAATTTAGGACCTGTGAAGCCAGTTGCTCCTCCTGCTTTTAGAAAACTCTAGTCCTTTATCAGTTCTTTAAGTCTATTGTTGAGTTTGTTATGGCCCACATTGTGTTGTGTGAGAGAGGGAGTTACCTGAATCTCAGCAAAAAGTGAACTTATCTCCCATGCGAATGAGCCCAGTTTTGCTTACACTAGATTGATCTTGAAAGCTGGAATCTTGGAAGAGCCAGGGGAGCATCCACTCTGCCATGTCCCTGCTGGAAAGTATCTGCTGTGATCATGACAATCTCAAATACAGGGGAAGCCTCTAAATAATTAATTCATTCTTCTGTACATCCCTTATGTTTTGAGTTTCCCCAAGCTTCCTGATCCTGCATTAAAAATCATCAAATTGGATGGTAAGGCTTTGTTCAGAAATAGCAGTATAAAGTCAGTATGTCTCAGAGTCCCACGGAGGTGGGAAGCATGTTTGCAGAATAATTAGGAGTAAACTGAATCAAACCATGCCCTTAGCTTTAGGGATTCAGTCTACCTACTTCAGGAAACGTCAAGGGTTTTCCATTCTCACCAGCTCAGGCTTATCCTTCTATACCTATGCTCTGAAGAATGTACCATGCTGATATTGCCTTCATCGTGGGGATTAATAATAATTTATTTATTTAACAAATATTTATTGCTTATCTACACTGCACCAGGATAGTTTTAGGCCCTGGGTATGTGATATACATATAACAGACAAAAACTCCTTACTTGAAGGGACTTAAGTGAGAGCAGGGGCTTCAGACATCAATAACAATAATAATATTGAGTGAATATAAGTAAATGAGAAAGAAATAAGAACTCTGGAACCAATAAAAGAGAAAAGAGAATGAGGCACAATTTTGAACTGTGGAATCAGGCTAGGAAATAAGATTCTATAATAATCTAATGTGAAGATCATGCACAAACCTGGCCTCTGTGTCTCAGCCGACAAGGATTGCCACTTCCAAATGAACTTCTGTCTTCCCCCAAAGCTTCAGTGGAAGTTCCCTTCCCATTGGCTTCAACTTCCAGCATTATTTTTCTCCCTAGATATTCCATGGTTTCATTAAGTAAAACATGATGTTATCTCCAAAACATTCCAAGCAGACACAAGGAAGCCCTAGCCTACCTAACACCTGCTCTGAAGAATTACAACCTAAATAAAAGACTACCTCATGAGAACAAATATTCTCACTCAGGGAAATCAGTCTGGGCTTTCAGTTTCCTTTTGGCCTTTTTCTCCAACTTTTCCATGGATTCTTGGAGTCTTCCAAGGGATTGTGTGTAAACAATTAAAATCTGATTCTCCAAAGCTAACATCTTTTGAAGAGTGAGAATGAGAAAGAAATTGAGAAGAAAAATGTAAGAGCCATGTGGGAAAGGTGAAAGGAGAACAAATCTTTCAAAACTACAGAGTGAGCAGAACAAATGGAGTGGGGGATGAGGGAGAAAAGCAACCAGAGAGACTCTCCACTTCACCAGATGGCCCCAGAGTTTCTACTCGGCAGCTGATTCAAAAGGTACCCAACGAGGCCTTGTCCTAGTAAAATATAATGGGTGTGGCCGCTTTCCTGGAATACAGTTTTTTAGGTAATGGCTTAAAAGGAGCAGGGACTAGGTTTTAAGTCCAAAGGGAGTATTCATTTCAAGG